CTTTGTTAAACAGTCAGCCAACATTTTTGGTGTAGGAACCCATCTGAACTCTCCTATTACCCCTTTATGTAAGTTTTCCTGCAGAACGGCTATATCAAGGACTAATCTTTTATCTTGACACAAACTGCTGGAGTGTACATTATCATAGAGTTGTTTTGAATCAATCAAGACAACAATCGGGATCACTTCATTATGCGGATCTCTGAACAACATTTCTGACAACACTTGTCTTATATAGATCGCTGCAGCTGTGCCAGAAGTACAGCTAAGTGTTTCAGCAGCGAATATAGAGTGCACGACTCTCTTAACTTTATTGCTCGACCACGCTATCAGGTTTGCTACATTTCCATCTGTAAGGAAAATAATGTAACCACTAGCACTATGCTTGGTTTCGGAGATGTTGCCCAAGCTTGCATCTGTGAAGCACAAGAGGTGTAAGTTTCCTTTCTCAATATCTAATTTTCTATAGACTACTCTTTTTGGCCCGTCAGCCAATTTCTTTGTTACCTTATTTAAACTTTTAAGGTGTTTCACTTTCTTGGTACTGTAAGTGGAATGTTCCAGAGTGTCAAAGGATAAATCAGGTCTGGTTTGAGAGCTCAACCACAAGAGTTTTCCCAATAGCTTTTGATATTCTACTAATTCCTCCTCCGTGAGGTCACTCTCTGCTTCCGTACATCTGCTACTAGCTATATCCACAGGTCTTATAGCTAATGCGTAATCTCTTTGATCGACATATATATCTTCATTCTGCACCACTTTCCACCCAAGATAGGTGAATACTCCCGTATAACTTCTGCTGATTTTGAACGTACTGTAGATTGATTTTATTACAGTGTTCTTGAATCGCGTTGTTCCACAGTGCAGTATATCATCAACGTGTGTAACCATCACTCCTTGCAATCTGTTGTTCTCGTAATATCTAAACAAAGATTTATCTAACTTTGAGATCTCACAGCTAGAAGTCTCAGTCAGATGTTCCTTAATAGTAACGTACCATCGTCTTGCACTGTCACCAAGTCCGTATAGCGGTTTAAGTAATTTCCAGATTACTCCTCGCTTCCTTATATCACGGGGAGGTTTAACAAATACGTCTCTCATAGTTCCTTTAGCTTGTAGAAAAGCACTGGTTACATCTAAAGTGTCAACAGTCCAATTATATGAAGCTGCTAGTGAAAATAACAGTCTAATAACTACCTTAGTTACCGTAGGAGAGTCTTTCCTCATGACACAATTCTCCTCGAAACCTCTAGCAACCAGTCTTGCTTTAACTTGCTCATCGTTTTCTCCCTTAGTAGTTACTACCCACCTTGATGATACATGACTTTGTCCCGTATCTTTAGTTTCTTGGTATACTCCGAATTCTGACAGTCTTTTCAGTTCCTGTTCCTTAGCAACGTCTATCTTCTTTGAGTCCTGTATTCCGATTGCGAAGATATAAGGCTCAGCATCTTCTTGCGTCAATAGTACAGTTGTATTCCTTTGATTGCCTTCTTGTTTCTCAACATGATGCTTTTCCAAATCTACTATTATTGGCTCTTCCACTAGATCCTGTTCGATTTGAAATGAATTTCTCGAACATTCTGACGTCTTGCCAGCTCTCTTCTCAATCATTCCGTATTTCCAAGGTTCCTCATCCTCAGATCTAAAACGTATCACATCTCCTCTTATCAGTCGGATTTTTGTAGAATCCCCAGATATACTATTCCAGATTGAGTTGTCTGTTTCTGTATTAGCTTCATCTACCTCCGTCGAGGTTTCCGTTTCTGTGGCTTCAGCTGAGACATCTGTTATAGAAGACACATCTATATTCGCTGTGTCATCTACATTCACTGTGTCATGATATTCTATAGATTGAGCCCTATCTTCTACCAATGTTTGAACAGTTGTTACTGGGACCTCCTCGTCCTCATCTTCTATATCATCAAAGTCTATAGACTGAGTAGTATTTTCCCCAGGCCTAACTTCCTCCACTGCTGCTCGATAATCCGACTCGGAGATTATAGTAAGCTTACCAACATCCCCCTGGCCCTGCAAGGTTGCACCACTTCCTTCAATTTGTTCTTTTGCTCTAGATTTAAGAACCACCTTACACGGATGCACTCTCACGATGTGACCCCCGTGCTTGATCAGAACTTGATTAGCAACCTGTCCTATTACTGTTGCTGGTCCATACCAGAACTTTTTACTTCTCTTGAAGTACACGAGATCGCCACTGCAATATCTATAGTTAGCTTGCGGAAATATCCTCTGTTGGAGTGCTCTCTTGAGCTTGTCGTTAGCTTCTAATTCAACAAACTTCAGTCTAGCCAGAGAGAGAGCGTTGAGGTGATCACTGACTATTTTGAGAACACCTTCATGGTTTAATGTTCCAGGAGTCATATTTTCTTCCATGATTCCAGGAACCCTTGGGTTTGTTCCGAATACTAGTTGGTGAGGGCTGAATCCGTATGTATTACTCAGAGAATTTTTAGCACTAACAGACCACGCTATAGCAATTTCAGGATCACATCTCATTTCTTCTAACAAAGATTTTATCATGCATCCCAAGATGCCGTTGTGTCGTTCTACAATCCCATTGCACCAAGGTGAATACGCTGGCGATGTCTGAATCTTGATGTTCAGTACTGAGCAAGCTTGGTTAAAACAATCATTTACAAATTCTCCTCCATTATCTGATATGAAGGTCGATGGTGGTCCAAATATGGATATCCAATGCTTAAATACCTTATCAAGTATTTCTTGAGCTTCCTTGCTGATCACTCGAGCTGCCACAGAATACCTTGTTACGGTATCAACCATATGTAGTAAAGTCACCTCATCATTTATAATTTTTAAGTCCATAGCAACGACTTCATTAAAAATAGAAGCTTGAGGGATTCCCACTTTCCTCTTCGGAATAGATCTAGTCTTGTACTTCAAGCAAAAATCACATGTTTGATCAATCTTCTCAAGCTCCTCTATGATCTTATTACCATCTTTCAACTTTGCGTTTTTGATGACTTTACCTATCTTTGCAGCTGATGCATGAGCGTAGTAACGGTGATAAAAGTCAGCAGTTTTTCCACAGTCTTGCTCTTCAGACACTTGATAAGTTACTCCACTTTCTTGCCCATCTCCACAACGTGCAATCGGCACAGCTACATGACCCGATTTTGTACTCCGCAACTTCTCCAGTGTTTTGCTGTCTTTTATTTTTAAGGTCATATTTTCCATGTCTAGTACCATACCCATTTTCGTCATGGTTTGCTTCGCTAGCAAAAGAGGAATATCGTTCGTCACCACGTATGTTTTCAAAAACATATCTTTGTTGCAAAGGTTAATAGGTATAGTTTTCAAAGCAATCGACTTCACTGGCTTACCATCTCCAAATCGAAATGTCCTTTCAGTAGTCTCAGTCTGTATCAGTTTCCTCTCTTCTGTAGTTAAAGAGCTTTCATACACCGTAAACCACTCCTTTCCACAGATGGTTGCACATGCCCCTGTATCTATCAACGCTTTGTTCGTACATTCACCTGTTAAGTAAATTATCTCTTCTTCGCAATCTGGAAGTGAAAAATCTGATTCAAATAAAGCGTAGACCTTTCTGCGAGACTCATCATCTTGTTTTTGATGAGATTTAGCGAATGTGTTAAAAGAACACTCAGCGACAACATGACCTGGTTGATGGCATATGAAACAACTGATCCTTTGGTTACTGCTCCCCCTCATGTAAGACTTTTGTCCTCGTTTCTGTGCATATGGGTTGAATCTAGACTGCCCTCTATTCTGACCGTAAGGGTTATATCTGTTTTCCCCTCTCATAGGTTGACCAGTGAAGTTTCTTTGATGATCCCCATTTCTGGTCCAGTGCACGTCAGACCCCATTTGCTGATCCTCAGTTAGAAAGACGGGTTCCTGCTTTACCACCTCCATTGGAGTACTTTTGAAAGGCAGACTGGATTGATTCTCATTCCTTGTAAATCCATCTCCGAATGTCCTTTTTAACTGTTCTTGCATCAAGTTATAAGATAATGTACTAGTACAAGTAGCTCTAACTAATCTGGCCTGTTCATCGTTTAGGCTAGCCTGATTTAACAGTCTATACGCTAATATCATATCATCATAGAGCTCTTTGTTTTCTCTCAGCTGTTTAAGGATCTGATACCTCCGCTGGAATTCCAAGATGTAGTTGTCGATATCTTCTCCATCTCCTCTTCTATATCTCTCAAAGTCGTCTATCGCCTTAAATAAAGACTGAGTACCGTCCTTCTTGTACAGTTTGTCCAGTTCAGCAATGAGTTTAACAACTCCATCTTCAGCTCCTAAAACATCTATTGGTATGTTTATAGAAACCTCCTGTGGTTTCCCTTTCATGTTCATGATAAGTTTACTTGCTTGCTGTTTCACTGATGCTGCAGTTCCAAGCTGCCATATGAGCACTTTTTTCTTCCACGTGCTGTAGTCAGCGCTATCGTCTAACACAGGTATCTCACGAAGACTCATGATTACAGTTTGACTCAAAAAACTCCCAAAGTGTCTCTAAAAAAACTCTAAACTGTCTCTCAATGTCTCTCAAAAGAAACCAAAAGTTCCACAGTTGTAAGGTCGTCGGGTAGATCGTCCTGCTTCCTGCTATCACTGTTAGATGACTCTTAGTTGACCAATTAAAACCAGTAATTGTCGTATGTACAAAACATGTAAAACACAATACTTTACTACATAATAGAATAACTTTACAACCAAATTAAACCAATTCCAAATATATACCTAATAACTAAACATTGTAAATACTTACCGATTGGACGGTAGTGTGCTGCCAATGTTCCACTCCTCCCCAGTCCAATCGGTTATCCTTCTTTGGTAGTTGTTATATATTCTAGTAATTTATTGTATGATTAACCGATATACTATTCAGGATGACTACCTGGGTTTTGGTTTTGGTTTTGGTTTTGGTTTTGGTTTTGGTTTAGCTTTTAGCTTTTAGTCTTGCGTTTACCTTGTCACAACGATTCATAACAATGGCGACGAGTCTGGTTTCGAACTTACGCTTATCCAAGGAAACTGATTGTGTCAGAGAGTGGCTGGAAATCTTTGAAAACGCCGCTTCTGTGTTCATTTTCGCACACGCAGATAAGTTACCAGATGACGCAAACGAGAAAACTGCTAAAAAAGCAGAACTCATGAGAACACTGTTAACAGTCAATCTGGGGCCTGACGCGTTGAAGAAGTTGCGTGCATTTACATTTCCAGCTGAAATTAAAGACACTGACTACGCTACCCTGAGAAAAACTCTTGTTGATCGGTTATCACCCAAAACGAACATTGTAGCTCAACAGCAGAAGTTTATGACGTTGAATCAGATTGCTGGTGAATCCTTATGTACTTTTATGTCACGATTGAAGGAAGCTGCTAATGTTTGTCAGTTCGGTGATTTGTTTGATTTAATGGTGCGTACACGTTTTGTGGCTGGACTATCCTCTGATAGGATACGTGCTGAACTCATATCAGAATCTGCTACCAACGACACGTCTGCCAGCCTGTTTGATAAAGCTCAGACGAAGGAGAACGCTCTGCAAAGTTCAATGTCAGTCACAACACACTATGTTCAAAAACCCGGGAAGTTTCAAAAACCTCAAAACTCTAAGTTCCATCAGAAGGCCGACCTTAGCATTGTTTGTTCACGTTGTACTGTTCGTGGTCATGTTGCGAAAAACTGCAAAGTTCGTTGCAGAAACTGTCGCAAACCCGGACATATCGCGAAGAACTGTCGTTCAGCTAAGAAGCAATCCCATTGTGTTGAAGGGATTGGTGATCATGATGATGGCAACGCTTGCGCTGCTGATTATGGGTACACACACCAAGAGTTGGAGAACACGTTGTACTGCGTGGAGACGGCTGATCCTGTCCAGATTCCAGTACAGATTCCTGTTCCCGATGGTACTCTTCCTGCATCAGTTGTTAGTAATTTATCCAGTTGTATTGATTGTAATCAGAAACCATTTCTTAAAGTTAAGATTAATGATAAGATTTTGAAAATGGAGTTAGATACTGGTTCATCTTTAAGCTGTATAAGTAAGTCTGATTTTGCTAGACTAGGACTAACTGATTGCCAGATTGTTCCATGTTCCCAGAAATTGCGAGTAGCTAATTTTAATTGTGAAAGCATTGACTGCAAGGCCCTTGTAAACGTTGAATTTAGAGGTAAGAAATGGATTTTACCACTATATGTTGTCGATTGTCGGTTTCCCACACTCCTAGGTCGAGAGTGGATCATCCAGATGTTTGGTAAAAACTGGTTGGATCATATGATAGGACTTGTTGATGTTGAGCAATCTTACGCTGTCTCCAAGCTTCAGAGAGATGAATTTGTTAGTGAGATACTCCGCAGTCCTGTGTTCGATCCTGGTGTTGGAACTGTTAAAGGATTCGAAGCTTGTCTACAATTTAAGCCTGATGCGAGAGCAAAGTTTTGCAAGGCAAGGCAGGTCCCATTTGCCATCGTAGACAAGGTTGGGAAAGCCATAGACGAGTTAGTGAAGAATGGACAGCTGATTCCAACAGAGCACTCAGACTGGGCTTCACCCATAGTTCCTGTCATGAAAGCGGATGGTACGATTCGCATATGTGGTGACTACAAGACTACCGTAAATCCTAATCTTGACACAGCTATTTACCCACTTCCTACGATAGAAGATTGCTTGAGTAAGATTGTCGGAGGTAAACTGTTTACTAAGCTGGATATCAGAGCCGCTTATAATAGTTTGAAGTTAAGAGAATGTGACCAAAAGATTGTGACTTTGAACACACACAAAGGATTGTTCAGTCCTACTTCTCTACCATTCGGTATTTCATCTGCCGGACCGATATTTGAACGCAAGATTGATGATACCTTGAGAAAGACAGAGAACACAGCATGGCGTGTTGACGACATTCTAATAACTGGACCTGATGATGAGAGTCACATGAAGAACGTGAGAACGGTGATTACAGCACTAGAGAATGAAGGCTACAAATGCCGGCTAGACAAGTGTGTTTTCATGGAGCCTAAGGTGACATTTCTTGGCCATGAAGTATCTGCTGACGGGATAAGACCGCTGAGTTCGAAAGTTGAAACGATAGTGAGAGCACCGTATCCTACTACTAGAGCGGAGATGATATCATTTCTTGGTGGTGCACAGTACTATTCACGTTTTATTCCCAACATGTCAACAGTTGTTGAACCACTTAACCGTTTAAGACCCGCTGACAGTATTTTCCACTTTGGAGATAGAGAAAAGAGAGCTTTTGATGAGTTAAAAGCGCTGTTATCGTCTGACTTGGTTCTAACAGTCTACAACCCTGAGCTGGAGTTAAAGCTTGACACGGACGCTTCATCCGTTGGTTTAGGAGCTGTTATGTCACATATTGATGAAAATGGGACAGAGCGACCGATCGAGTATATATCTCGAACACTGACGAAATCGGAGAGAAACTATTCCATGATAGAAAAAGAAGCATTGGCAATAGTTTGGGCGACTAAGAGACTGCACCGTTATCTTTTTGGACGACCGTTTACCCTAGTTACAGACCACAAGCCGCTGGAATCTATCTTTCACCCTAGTCGTGGAATTCCTAGCATGGTGGCAGGTCGTTTACAACGATGGTCATTGTTCCTAAGCGGTTACACTTACAAGATCCAGTTTCGACCCACTGGTAAACATTGTAATGCTGATCTATGTTCCCGTTTTCCACTGCCTTTAGACACATCGGCAGAGACGAGAGAGTTTGATGACGAGTTAACAGAGGAGTTTGAAATGAAACCTCTAGATACTGTTTTCAGCGTGCACTACTTCGGTGATGACAAACCTTTGATTGACGCTGAGTTAATAGCTAGTCAAACAAGAAGAGACAAGACACTTGGTCGAGTGTTACAGTTTGTTAAAGACGGCTGGAACGAGAAACCCCCTGTTGATGTCGAGCTGAAACCGTTTTACACACGTCGAAACGAGTTGTCAGTAGACCAGAACTGTATTGCCTGGGGATCTCGAGTTGTTATTCCAGAGAGTATGAGAAAGAGCGTGCTTTCAATGCTTCATGCAACACACATGGGCATTTCACAGACCAAAGCACTAGCGAGAGGCTATGTTTATTGGCCAAACATGGATGCTGAGATCGAGAAAATGGTTAAACTATGTGAACCATGTCAACTAAACCAGAAGAAACCCGCTAGATCTACACCACACCCATGGGCTAAAACTATGGAGGCTTGGGAGCGGATTCATCTAGATTTCTGTGGACCCTTTCTTGGATCTATGTGGCTGATAGTTATCTGTTCGTATTCAAAATGGTTAGAAGTTGTTAGAATGACGAACATTACAAGTAAGAGAGTGATTCAAGAGTTACGAGACATCTTTAGCCGTTGGGGACTACCCAAGATACTAGTATCAGACAATGGATCGAGTTTAACTTCAGAAGAGTTTAAAGTATTCACGAATAATAACCAGATTCGACACGTGCTTATTCCTGCTTACTCACCTGCAAGTAATGGACAAGCAGAAGTTGCAGTCGGACTGTTTAAAAGAGCTATGAAACGGATGATCTTGAAAAACCCTAACGTTATGTGTAACCTGGCTGATTGGCTGCTTAACTACCGCAACACACCACACACCACTACCGGAGTAGAGCCTGCAGTTGCGATGATGAAACGACGGACGAGAAACGCCTTGAGTTTTCTACACCCGAGTTCGAGTAGTAAGTTTGCCAAAGTTGCTTTAAACGATCAGAACACGATTGCTGAATCGAGACTTCGTGATATGAAGATTGATGACACTATATCGTTCTATGATGAGAACAAGAAGTGCTGGAGAAACGGTGTTATCGAGGGTAAGGAAGGTACCAAAGTGCTACTGATCAAGACACCTGATGGAGTCTACCGCAAGCATTTGGACCAGGTAATCAAGAGATCTGTTGTGTCAGAACCGTTGCAACAAACAGATCCGGATACACCACGAGTTGAGCTGGAGATAAGAGATGAGCAGAGCTCTACAGCTATTGAGGGTGATTTCAAGAAGACAGCTAGCTTACCTGAGAGTACAGAGCCGGAAACTTCGATTATAGTTGGTAATAATCCAAATCTACCCGCCGAGCCTGACCATAAGGCAGCCATTGAACCTATAATCACTGCACAACCTGTACTTAAACCACGTGAGCTTGCCATAGAAATTAACCGTAGCACTATGAAACCTAGTATTGTTAGAGAGCATGAATTGCAAGAACCCAATTTGCTTCTGCCAGCAAACTTTGCACGTGATAGTAAACCACCAGACAGGCTAAGTTACCGCAAACTGGGAGGAACATAAAACACGTTTCATTATCACATTTTATGACAGTTGTTTTATTTTGAATGTGTAAATCTAACCACACATTAATCCAGTTAAATTATCCAGATCAAACATAAAGTTATAAATATTCCCTGTCACGTTTATGTTTTGAAGAGAAACACGTTATTTTTTGTTTTAAACGGAATGCGCTAAGTTTTAAATCGTGTAGCGAGCGCAACACGTTTCAACATTTTCACGTAAGTTCACTTCGCACTTTTGTAGATTTCATTTTGACCACGTTTTCAAACATTTTAAATTTTGTACGATTGATTTATATCACATTTTTTTACGAATTCAGTTAAATTATTAAATCTATATTGTTTTTAACACTTTTTAGTTGAACGGGATGTTATATATTCTAGTAATTTATTGTATGATTAACCGATATACTATTCAGGATGACTACCTGGGTTTTGGTTTTGGTTTTGGTTTTGGTTTTGGTTTAGCTTTTAGCTTTTAGTCTTGCGTTTACCTTGTCACAACGATTCATAACAGTAGTCATTGCTAGAAAGGGTAAACACGGTTAGAAGTATTCTGTCACAGAAGAGAGAGAAAGGTGTGAACAGTAATAACAAAATCAACATGATGTTAAAGCTATATATAGCATTGTCAATCGTGAGCTTGACAGACATCAGAATACTCCTCTCCCAGAATCAGAAGATGTTTCAAAACTTTGCAGTGATTTTAATCACTATTTCAATGAAAAGATCAAGAACATTAGGAAAGATTTCCCCAGCATAGAAGATTTTGATGTTGATAAACACATTATGAATCAACAGAACAATTCTAACTGTGAAGGTTGGTTATATGAATTTGAACCATGCACAGAGGATGAGCTGTCTGAAATAATCAAAGAAAGTGGAATCAAGTGTGCACCATCTGATTTTCTTCCGACAACTGTCCTCAAAGACAATATCACAAGTTTCATTCCTGTCTTGTGCAAACTGGTCAACCAGTCTCTAGCTAAGGGCACATTCGACGGTTTGAAGACTGCTGACATTATTCCTACCATCAAGGACCACAAACTTGATCCAAATGACTTCCAAGAGCTATTGACCTATATCTAACCTCTCTTTTCTGGGTAAACTCATCGAAAGAGTTGTGCTGAAAAGGTTAAATGAACATCTGGCTAAAAATGATCTCAATGTTCCACAGCAATCTGCCCATAAGAAGTTCCATTCTACTGAGACCATCTTGTTAAAAGTAACAAATGACCTACTGCTGGCATGTGATAGCAAATCCTCCACTGTTCTCATGATGCTCGATTTATCTGCAGCCTTTGACACAGTGGAACACAGAAAATTACTCAAAATTCTTTCTGAAGAGATCCATATCGGAGGTACTGCTCTTAAATGGTTCAAGAGTTTCCTGGTAGGCCGCACTCAAAGAACCAGAATAGGCTCTTCTACTAGTGATACGATCATTCTAGAATTTGGTGTACCTCAAGGTTCTGTGTTAGGACCGGTGCTATTCAACATATACATCAGATCTCTGTATAGGACCATCGAGAAATCTGGATTCAATGTGCAAGGATATGCAGATGACCACCAGGTATATAAAACTTTCAAACCTTGTGATCAGGTAAATGTTCTGGGCATCCAAATTGTGAATTGCGCTAGGACCATACAGCGCTGGATGGTTGAATATTGCCTTCAACTTAATCCTGGAAAAACACAAATACTTATCATCGCCTCACCTCAAGTTCTAAACCAGGTCAGTATAGGGGGAGTTAAGCTATCAAATGATACCTGTATCAGATTTGTCAGCACAACAAAGAACCTTGGTGTTCAAATTGACCATCATCTTACTTTTGAGCCTCAAATCATGTCCCTCAAAAAGCATTGTTTCAGACTCCTTAGGAATGTAATAAGGAGAAAATATCTCTTTAGTAAAGCTCAGCTCAAGCTTATAATTAACAGCATCATTGTCTGCAAATTGGACTACTGCAATGCTCTTTATTATGGAATTAGTGACAACCTCATCCACCAACTCCAACTCGTTCAGAATGCAGCTGCTAAAGCTATAGTAGGACTATATAAATATGATCATCTAGGAGACACTCTGAAAGACCTTCATTGGCTGCCTATTAGTTACAGAATTCAATATAAGTTATTGCTTCTTGTCTATAAATGTCTTAATGGTATGGGACCAGATTATTTAAGTGATATGTTTAAATATGCCAATTATAATCATCTTATCTATTTGACTGAACCTAGAGTATATTCACAGTATGGAGAAAGATCGTTTCAGAAAGTTGGCCCTAAATTATGGAATGAGCTGCCTCTTGAAATTAAGAATTGCATGTCACTGGAATCTTTTAAAGTGTATCTGAAAACGTTTCTTTTTAAACGTGCTTTTGATATTAATTAATTTACTATTTTTTCAACGTTTCTACTGTTAAGTGCATACCCTTAACCTTGTTATTTAGTGTATATCAAGTCTTTACAATTTTCTATGGTTTGGAACCTAAATGTGGATTGCTTTTCAGGTTTTCTTGTATCCTGACTTGTTTTCGTGGCACACCTGTGCATTTTAAGTTGTTGTGCCACTATAATCTATAAGTTTAAATTATTATTATTATGTTAGTAATGTTATTTACAGTTATATACAGAGAAGTATAGAACAATAATAGATTGGCAATGATAACAAATGGGAACGAATAAAGGAGATGTTTAAAGTTCTATACTTCTGGAAATACCTAGGTCATATATAACGCAGGGCAGGGGGCCTTTCCACCCGACAAAAACTCCAGCACCATAAAATTTGTTTCAGTTGTCACATAGCTAGAGTGTAGAAATAGTCGAAACTATTGTTTATTTCATAGGATGAGACTCCTTGAATTACATCTGACATAAATTTAGATTTCATACATTGTGAGAATTTTACACTACATTCTATAGTCCTTATGTTCTCTGGAATTGTATTCCAACATTTTTCACCTAAATATGTGAAGGTTTTTGTGTGTTCTGGATTTGTGAATATAAAGGTTGCACCTCTCAGCATCACGTGATCCTCCGGATACATAAGAAAATTTATCTGTGAATGATGATGGTGCAGCCTCATTAAGAATTTTATACATATACGTTGATAGATGGAGTTGTCTTCTTAAGTGTAAGGGTAACCACTTCATATTTCGATATACATTTACTGATGGTTCCTGCCCAGTAATCGACCGGGATTCCCGGCGCCGTGAAATCCCGGCACCGGGGGAGCTATTTCTTCCCGGCCCCGGCCCCGGCCGATTTTCAATTTTTGCCGGGAATTTGGACGGGAATTTTTGATCGAAATCGGCCTAAAACTTTCATATAAATCTTAAAATGGATTTTCAATTTTGAAAGGATGATGTCCAGAGTGCCAACTTTCAAGAGCAGTCCTTTGTTTTTGTAACCTCTGATAGTTTTTACAATTACGATATTCCACCTAAGTCCTGAAAAGTTCTAACTTGGCCGTGGATTTATTAAATTCACGGCCCCGGCCAAATTCCAGAACGGCCAATTCCCGGCCCCGGCAAAATTTGGACATTCCCGGCCCCGGCCCCGGCCCCGGCCAAATCCTACCCCCGGTCGTTTACTGTTCCTGCCAATGAACATCCAGAGCAATTTTTGCTACTTTCTTGTATAATATATCAAGAGAATTAAGTTTGGTTTTGGCAGCTCTACACCATATTATATCCAGGTAGTCAAATTGGGGGAGCATAAGAGCATTTACAAACATTTTTCTATATTTCAGTGGAAGAAGATTTTTCGACCTGTATAATGCCCCTATTCTTTTAGCAATTTTTGATTTCACATAATCAATAATATGGTCTTGAAAGTTCAATAAATTGTCTATCATGAGACCTAAATATTTTTGAGATTTAGTTTCTTCTATAAATAGGCATTCTTTTTCCAAATCCAGAGGGATTGACAACGTGTCCCGATTAGGTGATCTATCAAATAAAATGAATGAAGATTTTGCAGCATTTAGTCTCAGCTTGTTGATTCTAAGCCATTCATACACAATTTTCATATCCTTAATTACATTCTCATATATGCCTCTGGAAATGTTATCAAAATATAGTGCACTGTCATCTGCAAATAAGTAAACAGTAGATTGTGTGCAATTTCTACTGAGATCATTTATGAATAAACTAAATAGAATTGGTCCTAATATGCTACCCTGTGGCACACCTGTTTTAACAGGGAGTGATGTGCTTACATTACAACGTATTTTGGTGTGCTGCTTTCTGTCCCCAAGGTAGCTTTTGAACCACTTTATGACAAAGCCATCAACTCCATAATACTTAAGTTTTTTTAATAAAACATTATGGCTTACTGTGTCAAAGGCCTTTTTAAGGGGGCCGGGGGGGGGGGGGGGTCTTCATCAAAATTATCTCGAAATTGACTTTACAGTTGTTTCTGATAGAGGGGAGTGATATCTATCAGCTGTTTTTAGTCCCATGGAAAAATATTGTTCCTAGCCGGAATTATTGCCGGTCAAAGGTCAGCGCTTATGTGTAATTGTATTGCGCGAGCGATTTTCAATCGCGCGCCCTGAAAATCGAGTCTAAAAATCTATCTTCTCCTACATTTTTTGAGTAATCACCCTGAAACCTTCAGGATATGTTCTAAGGACCATTTAGAAGAGATTGTCGGGCCAGAATTTTGAGATAGGCCTTAGAAATGTTTTTATTCGATTTTGAAAATCTTGGACCTGAAAAAATCGTCAAAAAACGAGGTCCAAGATTTTCAAAATCGAATACAAATATTTCTAAGGCCTATCTCAAAATTCTGGCCCGACAATCTCTTCTAAATGGTCCTTAGAACATATCCTGAAAGTTTCAGGGTGATTGCTCAAAAAATGTAGGAGAAGATAGATTTTTAGACTCGATTTTCAGGGCGCGCGATTGAAAATCGCTCGCGCAATACAATTACACATAAGCGCTGACCTTTGACCGGCAATAATTTCGGCTAGGAACAATATTTTTCCACGGGACTAAAAACATTATAACCCAATATTCATTTCTTTTTCTCCCTTAAGGGGGGGGGGGGTCAATGGGTATTTTTTTGTGAAACTTGATTTCGAGATAGTAGTTGACCAACAAACTAGGACCAGTGACCGAACTTTTGAGGGGGTCCCGGACCCCAACCGCCAAACGGTGCGCGCAGGGCAGCCACGCCCATATTTGGTCCAAATTAGGCCCAATTTAGCCAAATACCCTGAACATGCCCAAAACCCAGGTTTATGGTGCTCTACTTGTAGCTAGTGGTCTCCTGAACTCGTATATGAAATTTCATCAAGATTGGACAAAAAATGACTGAGTTATGAGCCAAAAACCATATGCCCATATTTGGGCATACGCACCAAATTTGGTAGATTTCGTCCCATAAATTGGTCAAATATCAATATTTTTGGATGAGACTTACTTTATATGAAAGGTAAGCCTAAACTACATATTCTCTGTAAGTTATAGCTTTATATCTGTTTAAATGTGGATACTAAGGCGAAAAAACCACAAAAAATGAACTAAATTGCCCATATCTCGGTTCGCGATATTCGCGGAATTGATCTCACCAAAATTGTAACAACTCAATCAGTTTTCAAAATTTTTGCATGAAATTTTTGAAATCGACTCGAAATCGCATTTCGACCTTATTTTAAGAACGGATTTTTGATTTAGGCCTCCAAAAAAATTTGGCGGCCAAATTCTGAATTTCTGTAATATAATTTTGGAATTTGGCCGCCAAATTTTTTTTGAGGCCTAAATCAAAAATCCGTTCTTAAAATAAGGTCGAAATGCGATTTCGAGTCGATTCCAAAAATTTCATGCAAAAATTTTGAAAACTGATTGAGTTGTTACAATTTTGGTGAGATCAATTCCGCGAATATCGCGAACCGAGATATGGGCAATTTAGTTCATTTTTTGTGGTTTTTTCGCCTTAGTATCCACATTTAAACAGATATAAAGCTATAAATTACAGAGAATATGTAGTTTAGGCTTACCTTTCATATAAAGTAAGTTTCATTCAAAAATATTGATATTTGACCAATTTATGGGACGAAATCTACCAAATTTGGTGCGTATGCCCAAATATGGGCATATGGTTTTTGGCTCATAACTCAGTCATTTTTTGTCCAATCTTGATGAAATTTCATATACGAGTTCAGGAGACCACTAGCTACAAGTAGAGCACCATAAACCTGGCTTTGGGGCATGTACAGGGTATTTGGCTAAATTGGGCCTAATTTGGACCAAATATGGGCGTGGCTGCCCTGCGCGCACCGTTTGGCGGTTGGGGTCCGGGACCCCCTCAAAAGTTCGGTCACTGGTCCTAGTTTGTTGGTCAACTGCTATCTCGAAATCAAGTTTCACAAAAAAATACCCATTGGCCCCCCCCCCTTAAATTTAAACCCCTCTTAGACATTTAGCCATGATTTAGTATTGAACACCCAAAATACTTACTGTCCTTAATAATCGTAAAGACCATTTGTTACAAAATAGCTGCTAGAATAATGCATGCCAAATATTCCCTCTTACACCCACAAATTATAATGCCTTCCTATCAACGCCTCTAATTTGGTCACTAATCAACCAGACTAGCGTTCTGGTGTGTACAAAAGCTACCAGCCAGTACATTCCTTGCCCCGCTAGTTGATTGTCAAAAAATCATACAGCTCAGAACAAACGGCCATTTACCACTAAGAGCATTATATGTTTTCATTTGTTTAAATTTTATGCTGTAAAATGTGCTAAAACTTTGATTATTTGTTTAAAAAAAAAAAAAAAAAAACTGTAAAGTCAATTTCGAGAGAATTTTGATGAAGACCCCGCCCCCCCCCCCCGGCCCCCTTAATATCTAAGAATACAATTGCAGGTTTCTTCTGTGATTCCTTAGACGTAAATATTTTATCAAATAGATTAAGCATTAGAAAAGTGGTGGAATGATCTTTTCTAAATCCATACTGATGGTTGGTAAGCAGTTTATTTGTTTCAACATACTCTGTAAGCTGTTGGTTAACAAAATACTCTATGCATTTTCCAAGTAGGGGGAGTATGGATATTGGCCGGTAGTTATTTGGATCATTAGGGTCACCAGTTTTAAGAATTGGAGTGATTGATGCAATTTTACATGCCAACGGCATTGTTCCACTTTTCATACTAAGGTTTATAATATGAGCTACTGGATCGATGATTTGGGGAATAATATACTTACAACTTTGAATCGTTTGTAAAAGTAATCGAATCTAACTACATATTTTATTCTAAGAGTTAACTTATTCACTAGAATGAACATGAAGTCAGGAGAGAAAGTTCAAGGAGGCAGGGAAATCTTTCGATGTATTATTATTTGAAGACTCCGCCTGCCAATAATGAGGTAAGAACTAACTATCATTATCAAACACTTCAATCTTTTCCCAGCAACTTGAGTTGTACATTAGGATAAATACTACTTGAGCTTTCATAGACCATCAACTTAGAACTTCTTAACATGATTTTATTCTACACCAGGCTAACTAGCATTGTTTAAGTGTGTAATTGCCACAACTCTTGAAGATAAGCTTGGTGTCGATGCTTAGTCCAAGAACAGTTGATTGTTTTGTTTTACTGCCCATAATGGTCTAAAGTTTGTGTCAACATGCGAGCTTAAATTACTTTTGCCACATTTGAAGTAAAACCACACTTATTGTCAAAGGATCTCAAACTATGGTCATAGGAGACTAAGGAATAAATATACATTAGTTAATAAGTTGCATAATAAGTTAACATATTTAACACCTCCGGCTCCCCTTTTATTATCACTACCACTCAACGTAAACAAAAAATATTTAAAGAATTTCTGCGGTTAACTAATTCCTTTAAAGCACGTCTAGTTTCTTGCGGTAGAAGTTATACTCTGATTATTTCAATCCATATAAAAGGTTATATAAAGGATATGAAAGGGTTAGTTAACATATAACAATATCAAATATAATATAAATGTATTATCAAATATAACAATATTCCCCCTTGAGAAAAACGAGTGCTGTGCGTTCCCTGTCAAAGTTTTCCCTGACAGGTACCACCTTGATGTAACCCTCTTGAAGACTGACCCATAGTTCAAATTGTTCTGCAAACTCGTTAAAATCTGGCCCACCACAAACGTTCGTTTGTAGCTTGTCGCCATTTTTGTATTTGAAGTATAGGTAACCATGTACTATTGTCATAGGATCTCAAACTATGGTCATAAGAGACTAAGGAATAAATATACATTAGTTAATAAGTTGCATAATAATTTAACATACATTAAGAATTATAGTCCAGGTTAGAAAGAAAAGGGAACAATGTTATGATGATATGTCATTAGACACTTTGCCACAGGGCTAAACCCTTATAATAGTATTGTTAGTAACACATTGTTGCATCAAGTAAGGTATATACATTTGTTGCAACCATGATACATTCTGTTGGGACTAATTTCCACTTGCTGCACTGAAATTTCTAACATTATAATATGATAATTTAAGTGCTATTGCTCGAGGGGTTCTTGATTGCACTACAGTTAAGTGTTCATAATAAATTGTAAGACACTTGAGTGAAGTGTTCGTAATAAAGTATGAAGATTATTAATCGAAGAGTGTTAAGAAATTGTTCCATGTTTTAAAAAAGGTGGCTATTGTTCAGTAATCAGTAGTCTGCTTGGGAGTCATTTCCTAGGGATACTGGGTAGCAAAAGGATGATCTTGTGAGTTTTCTAGTTTGATCTGACATTTAATTGTGGATTGGTTTTGGCAGCTTTTCAGTAGCATGAAGTTGTAGAAGTTATTCAGCTGAATATGGGACGGACAGGGGCGCGGCGCCAGGTTAATGAATCCTGGGTTGTCCGTAAAGTTGAGGCTGTTTAGGCTGGAGATTACGCATCTTATGGAAGAGGTCTGTTGTAGTGTTGTGATCTTCTTTTCGGTGTGGAGTTTCGGTGTGGAGTTTTACTTTGTGCGATTCAGTGGTGACAAACTGTGTGGGATCTTTTGTCAAGGGGAGTGTTAAACACTAAGGGTCATGTCACGACGTCACGTCGTTTGTAAAATGTTCATACATAGGTGGCGGAATAATGCCATGATTAAAATCAAGTTAGAGAGAACAGTAGTAGAGGAAACAGTACATCCTGGCTCTTTCTTATTCTAATTCTAATTCTAATTCTAATTCTAATTCTAATTCTAATTCTAATTCTAATTCTTATTCTAATTTATAAACCATCTGTTAAGAAAAGCTAAAATTTACTTTTTGCATGCTTATTAGTTCGGATCATGTTTTGTACTTCGAATGACGAAACTGGATTCCTATAAAGTTGGGCTATGACTAAAAGCCTGGTAAAATATTTTATCCACCTTAAAGCAATCGGCCCCTCATCATTACTTGTAAATCTGGAAATACTATTATCTGCTATATCTTTAAAATGTTTGTTAGATAATATGACCTCTTTTATGGTGCTATTATAGTCACCCATTCCTACTAGTTGGTCTATAATCATGAAGAGGATGTCGTTAGTAACGGTAAATCTATCGAGAGTCAATAGTCAAGTAATATCAATATTATTGTATATGGAAAGAAAACATTTTAATTCATTTTATTATAGAAACCACTAGCATTTGTATACAACAGATTTGTTTCATTTACCAGGTCCCTCCGTTACAAGGATTATTTCTGTTATCCCAATTACAAATGTAATATGTACTGGTTTCAAGTATGTAAATCCCACCTCTGTTTACAAATTTTAAACAAGCATTTTGACATTTAGCCCGGTTTATAGAGGTTTGGCTGTACATTCATTTTTGAATGGTATATTGTATAATAGTTAAGCTCCTGTTCCTTGACTCCAGATCGCAAACCACGTGCCAAGAAGATACGCAAATCATTCTTCAACCTCACCGGTCAAGAGACTCATATAGCTGGTGTATCCCGATGTCAAAGAATTATGAAGGAGACCATGTGCGAATTGAATGAATTCAAGTATGGAATGGAGACCGAGAGATCAAAATTTGGTTACACTGATCCAAATCGAAAACAGGTGAAGAACTTTGTAGAAGATGTGGAGAGCCTGCTTGAAGATAAAATATCAGGGGGTTTTAATAAGTTGGTGTTAACAGCGCTATATCCCCCCGAGGGGGCGGAACCCCCAACCATTCCCCAATTAGAGACTGCCTGGTCTGGGCTTCTTCCCACGTTAACCGAGGTGAAAGAGGAGTATACCAGACTGTGTAAGATGAGGGATAACAACTGGGCCACGCCCGAACCAATGAAACCAAAAGCAAAGACCCCTCGTAAAGCCACAAAACGGAGAGGAAGAAAGAAAGTTGACAACAAAGAGAATTAAAAACATGGCCAAGTTTTTGCCGATTGTTTAGGACTAACTAAATTTTGCATAGACGGGGGCACTGTCACTCATATTCCTGTGGAAAGGTTATGTCAGCAATCTGCAACTAATATAAAGTTTCTGGCGATAGAATTAGAAATGTGGAAATTCTGGCGATAGAAATGAGGTCATTTATGTGATAGTGCAATGTGTATTGACCTCCACTTTTCTATCGTGCTGCAATTTGATTCTATCATTTATCAACTCATTAGTTGTAAAGTCTTACAACATGTTATGTTCAATGGCAAGTTTAACCTGCAACTTACCGAACTTTCTATTCTCTCTGACTGAAGAATACATTCTCCTTCAGTGTCAATTAATTATCCAATTAACTTTCAACTTGGCTCATCCGCTTCACTGCCATTGTAAATCGCTTGCAGCTGGAAGTGTCCAAGTTAAGGACGATATTATTTTTATATTATCATCCGTATCTGAAGGACGAAGGTTCTCAATCACAACGACAGAAATAAAAGAAAAATAATGAAACAAAAGAAAGTAAGAAAAAACTAAAAAGCAAAAATGAAAAAAAAAGAAAGACAGTAAAAAAGAAGTCGAGAAGAGAAAAGAGAAAGGAGGAGTGTATAAAGAAATACATCAATTTAAACAAATTTAACATGGCAGTGTTAATAGCATCTAAACCTCGTAACTGTGTCAATAATGTGTACAATCCACACTCCACAACTAAGCTTCTTGAGATCCATTGCTATGACTTCATTAAAGACATTACCGCTTGGTATAGCCACCTTCCTCTTTGGGGCCTCTCTTGTTAGTTCCGCTAAATGGGGAGGATAGTTATAAAAGTACCAAATGAAGCTCTCTGGGATATAGGTGTTAAAGGTTGTAATAAATAAATTTATTTCGGCACCAACCCGAGCATCACGAGCAGTGCCGCTATTATAATTAATAATTTCTGTTCATACACGGATATTGTCATGATCTGTCATGGATTGTGATTTGAATAAATGCGGTTATTTTTACAATGAGGATTGTAACCTTTTCCTCTTCTATGGCATCCTGTGCTTTATCCTCTCTATGCCTTACTGAAGCCTCCTCAGCATCTTTCTTCATCTTCTCCCAGGCCTCCTCTCTCTCCTGCTTTTCCTCTTTCGTCTCAGGCAATGTTCCCTTTATTTTATAGCAGCTCCGACTTTCCACCCTGAATTCAAAATTGCTGAATCTGCAGCATCTGCAGCGCCACTCCCCAGGATACCCCTGCACCGAGGTCCCCCCGGATTTCGGTGCACTACAGCTGGAGCACTGGCTTTCACAATGCCTCCAGCTAGTGGATCTTATTATGTGATAAAGTAATAATTAATATTGTAATAATAATTAATGTGTAAAGTAATAGTTAATCTAAGACCGATATAATATTTAATAATAATATCTGAGGGTTTTCACTCAGAACGACAGAAACAAAAAATTATGAAGAAGAAAAGAAAGTCACAAGAAAATCTAAAAAAGTAATAATTGAAGAAAGAATGAAAAAAATAAAAACAGTTAAAAGGAGAAGCCAAAAAGAGAAGATAGAGACTGCACCGTGTCTATAAAGAAATAACATAAATAAATTTAACATGATTGTTGCAGTGGTTATTTTGTTGCAGTGGTTATATCGCCATCAGAGTGGAAGGTGTGACTTTCTCTCTTCAGTTCTCTCAGCATCGCAATGATCTCAAGGGTTGTCTTTATTTTGATAATGGACTGCTTTTTTCCCCGGGAAACCTTGAGGATGGGGGGCTGAGTTAACTGCAGATCTTCAACATCCAGTAAGTCCCGTAAGACTGATTTCAGGAACAGTCGCAGGTTCGTCCTGCAAAAATTTTTGTTAGTTGTCTGATTAGCTTGTCACTGGAATTTGGACAAAGATTATTGCATCAAAAAGGCAGGATTAAACTAACCTATCATTGACACAAAGATCAGGAACGTCCTTATCTAGGTGAACAGCAATAATTAGTTCAGGGCTTCTCTCTGGCAAAACAGAGCTGGTCCAGCCTTCCAGGGAGGAGTTTACCGCTTCCTTGATACAAGCTACTGTGTCGTGGCACCTGTACTTTATCGCTCGTACAGCTTCTTCATTCCGTGTGTCAGTGATTTTGCCCACTCTGTCGTCCTCCATCTGCGGGAAGGTGTTCTTATTGAATTGCATGGAATTGGGAAATCTGTGAAAGTTAAGATAGTAACAATTCGTTCGTTGCTGTTTGTAGATGAAAATTTACCCTAAAAAGGAGGACTTTGACATTGTTAATCTAGTACAGTTTTGTTCGTTTTTTTCGTTGGGCAGATCAGGCTTCTAGTTACAATCCCGCTGAGCTGTGATCTGTGTACTGAGCTTCAAGGTCTTGAAACGACCACTCTTCCTTTTTCACTTGTCTTTAGCCATGTTTTACTGAACACACCTGCAAACTCAATTTCTAACAATCGTATGAACTTAGTTTGTGATATGCAAATAGCCAAAATCGATAAATTTGTTCCATTAACCAACATCCAAATAAATTCAATGCAGATCAAGCAACGAAACAAATATAGAAGAGTACAATTATTGATTAAAACTTAAATCTTGAAAATATTTTGGATACAATGTTGTGAATTTCAGTACACGGGCATGCACTTGTCATTATAAAATATAATATAATACTAATAGATAAGGCCGGAGAGCTTATGTCTTTATGTTATTTTATCGCAATATTAATATTGCATGTAACATGCACTAGTCAAAAGGGCCTTATCTGTATAAAAAACTATCCCACTTGTTGCAAATTACAAGTCCCTTTAATCACGGTTTAAAGTCAACTATATGATACATGAGAGCCAACAATATACATAAAAGCACAACTTTCATATGTCAGGGCTTCTCTCTGGCAAAACAGAGCTGGTCCAGCCTTCCAGGGAGGAGTTTACCGCTTCCTTGATACAAGCTACTGTGTCGTGGCACCTGTACTTTATCGCTCGTACAGCTTCTTCATTCCGTGTGTCAGTGATTTTGCCCACTCTGTCGTCCTCCATCTGCGGGAAGGTGTTCTTATTGAATTGCATGGAATTGGGAAATCTGTGAAAGTTAAGATAGTAACAATTCGTTCGTTGCTGTTTGTAGATGAAAATTTACCCTAAAAAGGAGGACTTTGTTGTTAATCAAACTTACAGTTTTGTTCGTTGGGCAACTGTCTGGCTCTTCACTCTTACACCAGCCGACTACTCACTAGAACTAAAAACAACCCTGTAAATATAAAAGTATGTTAGAAAGTAGTAACCCAAAACTACAAACCTAGGACTAAAGAAACTGAAAAGGAACAATGACCAAAATAAGCTAAACAATACACTACCTGCCCTTCAGGGTTAGCTCTCGTTCCGTCACCTGAATCCTCTATACTAAACTGGTATTTACATCTTTGTTGTATTTACATGCTAAGGGAATGAATATGTGTGAAACAACAAAACATAACCACTCAGACGTGTCTATGAATATAAAAACTTAAAGGTAAAATATGATAGATCAGGCTTCTACTTACAATCCAGCTGAGCTGTGATCTGTGTACTGAGCTTCAAGGTCTTGAAACACCCAGTTTATCAGAGCATCTAGGTCACCCTTGAAAATCAACTGTTCTGGGATTAATACCCTGAACTTGCCACCTTGAGGAATAAAACCACCAAAATCTGATCACCACCATCTTACGGAGAAAATCTTTAGTGACAAAGTGTACAGTTACCCTACTTATGCATATGATTGGCTCCATGATTGGCTTCATACCATACACTGACATGATGTATTAATGTCAACAAAATATGACGTATGCAAATCACATATAAATTAAGGGGACGACTACACTCCTTACTTGCACATCTATTGTCCTTGTGTAATGTGTTTGCTGCAGCAAGTACCGTTGGTGCAGTTAAAGCAATATCAACAGGTTTTTCTGTACCCATAGATATCCCTGCAAGGCTTTAATCAAGTACGATTCGCCAGTTCCTCCAAATCCACTCGCATATAAGTTAAAGGGACGACTGCACTCCTTACCCGTGCAATTCCATTGTCCTTGTGTACCATCAAGTGTTCTATATGATTATAGTTGGTAACTTTGTCGTAAACAAATTTGTTTTTTATTATTTTTTATCTAGTTGGGGCTCCTCGACTTCCCAGCGTTTCTACTCAACATCAAGGGGTTCCTCCTCAACCTCAAGGGGTGCCTCCTTATTTCCTTAACAGTTTAAATCAAACGTAACCGCCCTTAGCTTTTAGGATTTGCTACAGCAAAAAGCTTTTGCTGAGTTAATAGAATCTATCCGTCAACATCTCTATAATTATACTGATTTAATCAGAATTTACTAACTGTACATAACAATTTGAAACTTGATTTGCTGCTATAATTGATGTCAACAAAATATGATTAATTATGCATATTAAACTTCTTTTCAAAAAAACAAGAATGGAAATTATAATATAAATTAGTTATCTGTATAGTACTTGTAGGTTTTATTTATTCATTATTGCCAATATTCTCCAAAATGCTTAGATGTTCATCTCTACTTGCCACCTGTAGCGTTGAACAGGTCCGATGACCAATATTACATTAAATTTAAAGCATTCCACTAGACAATAAATTAATAGTGTTCTCTGATTTAATCCTCCCAACTATCTTCCAATTCGCCGGATGAAGATTCAGAAGATTCGTCGTCAGATTCACTTGTCATCATGATTGGGCACTTTGACAGAACTGTTTACAGGTAGATCCACTGCACTGTTGGTCTCGGTTTTAGTACATCACAGTGATTCTGTGTAAACCTAAATATATCCTCCTGGAAGAGTGGAAGTAGCATAACACCCTGATTGAACGACTCGAAACCTCCCGTGTAAAATCTATTTAAATTTTAAAATATGTTTTAGTTTTTTCTAATCGATCATAGGTCGAAGATTGGTAATTTTCATGGTAGTAAATCGAAATTGGTTTTTTATTGTGGGCAAATAGACT